TGAATTCACTACTGCAGCTACACCTCTCCTTTATTATGGTGCGAGAGGGAGATTACATGTAGAGAGACAAGCAGAAGCGTTAGGCCTTTTTGTGTGATGCCTGTTTGCTTGATGCCTTTTCACTTGATACCTTTTAGTAAGTGTAGTACCTTTCGCGTGATACCTTTTTGCGTTTAGCCTACAGTACAGGCAGATTAGCGGGCTCTAGTGCGATACACGGGCGTGTGCGAAGTGCGAGAACGAGCGCGAAATGTGTGGATTTTTCTCACCTCGCACTTTGCGCTCCTTTTTGCACTTTGCGCGCGCTCGTGTATCACACTAGAGCCTGCTAATCCGCCTGTACTGCAGGCTAGTTTGCGTGATGCCTTTCTGCGTGCTGCCTTTTCGCATGATGCCTTTTCGCATGATGCCTTTTAGCATGATGCCTTCTTGCATGATGCCTTTTCGTATGATGCCTTTAGGTGTAATGCCTTTCAACATGGTGCCCTTTAGCATGATGTCTTTTAGCGTGATGCCTTTAAGCATGGTGCCTTTTAGCGCAATGCCTTTTAGCATGATGCCTTTTAGCGTGATGCCTGTTTGCGTAATGACCATTTGTAGAATCGGCTAGTTGCCGTTCGGGTTTTGATTGATGCATGTACAATTTGGATAATTTGATATCAATTACTGAGTACTGAATTTTATCATAGATATACCTCCATAATCTACAGACATCAGTAACTGCAACCGAAACCCGTTCGCCGATTCCCATGGTTATGAATTAAAAGAAGTGTATGGATGAAAACTTCTTGATAAAGTATAACTTCAATTATTCCAGCGATAAAGTTGCTTTCTGTGTGTTTTCTTTTTATCCCGTTACGATATTCATTACGTAATCAATCATCGGTCACTTACTTACTTAGGCCCATCACTCCAAGTGGAGATATAGGCCATCGACAACCCCTCGCCAGCTAACTCAAACTTGGGCTTTTCATTCAGCTTCTTTCCAGTTGTATCCTATCAGCTTCAGTTTCGCATCAGTGTCCTGTCACCAGCTGTTTCTGGGGCATCCCCTCTTTCCCTTCGTTAGGGGATTCCACCTCAGAGCTTGCCGGGTGATGTTGTTTGGTGCTTTCTGCAGGGTGTGACCAATCCAGCCCCATTTCCTTCTCAAAATCTGTTCACCTACCAGTTGTTGTTCCCATCGCTGCCAAAGCTCCTCATTGCAAATTTTCTCAGGCCACCAAATGTTAAAGATGCATCTCAGGCAACCATTTATGAAAGTCTGGATCTTCTGGAGTGCCTTTCTTGTCTGCCTCCAAGTCTCTGATCAGATCCATAGAGGAGAACTGATTTTACATTGGCATTTAAAGATGTGTAGCTTTGTTTGTGTCCTGATTTCTTTAGACATCCAGATGTTTCTGAGCATGTTAAATGCTGCCCTCGCCTTACCAATTCTTGTCTACATCTGTACCTCCTTGTTTGTCTATAACACTGCCAAGGTATGTGAAAGAGTCTACCTCCTCTAATCGCTCTCCTTCCACTGTGACTGGGTTTTCATTGATGGTGTTGATCCTCATGACCATTGATTTACCCCTATTGATCTTCAGTCCTGTTCTTTTTTGATGCTGCTGCCAGTCCATCGGTCTTGCTTTGCATCTGTTTATGGTTATGTGAAAGAAGGGCCAGATCATCAGCAAAGTCTAAGTCCTCCAGCTGTGACCAAAGGGTCCACTGAATTCCATTCTTTGTTCCCCTGGGTGGTCCTCAAAATCCAGTCTATAACAAGAAGAAACATAAAAGGTGATAGCAAGCATCCTTGTCAAATGCCAGTTGTGACATTGAAGCAATCTGAAAGCTGGCCTCTGTGCACCACTCTGCATGACATTCCCTCATAAGATTGCTGAATGATTGTAATGATCTTTTCAGGGATACCATAGTGTTTCATAAGTTTCCACAGTGTGTCTCTGTCCACACTGTGAATGGCCTTTTCATAGTCAATAAAGTTGATGTAGAGAGATGAGTTCCATTCCAACGATTGCTCCACTATGATGCGAAGTGTGGCAATTTGATCAGTGCATGACCTGTCCTTTCTAAAACCTGCCTGCTGGTACCATAGTTGATTGTCTACTGCAGCCTTCATTCTATCCAAAAGAATTCTGTTTAGGACTTTACCTGGTATTGATAGAAGTGTGATACCCCTATAGTTACTGCAGACCCTCAAATCTCCTTTCTTCAGTAGTTTGATGAGGAGTCCCTCCTTCCAGTCCCTTGGAATCTCTTCCTCCTCCCAAATGATCTCAAATAGTCTGCAGAGAGCTTCAGTGGAGGTGCCAATGCCTACCTTTAGGGCTTCTAGATCTGCAGGAATGTCATCTGGCCCAGCTGCTACCCTACCATTCTTCAAAGACTGGATTGCCTTTCTTATCCCTTGTCTTGTTGGTTTACCACAATTAATGGGCAGCTCTGTCTCTGCTGGTGGTATATCTGGGGGGTCTTCTGGGGCAGGTCTGTTCAGGAGTTCACTGAAGTGCTCCAGCCATCTCTTTAGCTGTTCCTCTGCTGTTGTCAATGTTTTTCCTTCCTTGTCTTTGATTGGCTTGTCTGTTAATTGGTATCGTGCTGAGATCTTCTTAGTAGTGTTGTAAAGCTCCTTCATGTTCCCTTGTGCTGCTGCATCCTCTGCGTGGCCAGGTTGTCTATATGGCTCCTCTTGTCTCTTTTTATACTCCTCCTCACCTCTTTGTGGGCCCCTTGTGTACTGCTGCTGTGCTTCTGCCTTACTTGCTCCTGTTCTACAAGTGTTCAATATGGCCTTCTCCTTCCGTCTCTCTTGTATCTTTCATAGAGTTTCAGCTGACATCCAGTCCTTATGTTGGGCCCTATTCCTATCAATTGTCTCTTCGCATGTCTCAGTCCACATCTTCTTTGTCTGCTTCCATTTTTCCTCAGGCTAAATGTTTTTATCATTATAAAGCTGCTGCAACACCTGGTACCTATTGGCGAGGTTGATCTTAAACTTGTCTGCTGTCTCCTTGTCACTCAATAGGTCCATATTATACCTTGTTCTAGTGGCATTAGTGGGTGGTTTGCAGTGCTTCAGGTGTAGCTTGAGTGTTGCCAAAACCATATGATGGTCTGATGCAGCATCAGCTCCTCTTTTTACTCTCACATCCTGTAGAGACCGCCTGAACTTCCGACATATACACACATGGTCGATCTGATTTTCTGTCACATGATCAGGTGATGTCCCTGTTGCTTGATCATGAATGCGCCTATGTTCGAACACACTGCCCCTAATAACCAGACTGTTTTGTGCACAGAAATCTGCAAACAGTTCTCCATTTTCATTCATCCTTCCAAGCGCATGTAGGCCCATAACCTGCTCATATCCTGTGTTGACATCTCCTTTCTTTGCATTAAGATCTCCCATGAGTAAGGTAATGTCCTTATCGCTTTGTCTGTTGACTACACTCTGCAGTTTGTCATAGAATTCGTCCTTCTTATCATCCAAAGCATCATTCATAGGGGCATAGCACTGTATAACAGTAATATTGCTGTTCTTTT